TGTAAAACCAACGGAGGGTTAGTTATTTACAGACCTGTTTCTCTTTTCCAGCCTGTTCCTAGAAAATTAGGACCCTAAAAGAGCCACATTCCTTTGGACCTTCTTGGTTGGGGAAGATAAGATCACAGCCTGATCAATGACAAATCTTTGCAAATTTGGCATGATTGTAAAGTCATCCATTACGAGTACTGTACATTTGCAAAGCTTCAATTCAATTTAAATGAATTCAACTCTGTAAGCTCTTTCAAGATTAAAAAGGGTTGGTCTACAAAAGTCGTTCTGTACATCAAAAAGGATAAAGTTGTTTGCAACCAGGACGACTTGAAAAGGGCTTATTTAAGACAAAACCTGCCTCACTGTGCTAGCTGTTTTATGGGCAACTTGCATTCTGTTTACTATCAAAATCAATGTGATTCCAGTTGGTATAAATGTTGAAATAACATGGAAATAAAGCTATCACAGAGCATAAAAATCTAAGTATGACTAGTAATCACTTGACGCTGGATGACGTGTAAACACACATAACTTTCCTTATCAGTTCCACGGAGGACGTGTACACTGATTTAAGAATTCCTTTTTCATTTCTGTGGTTGATGTATTAGTACATCGTGCTTCGTTAGGTCAAAGCACAATTGCAACTTTGAAGAATCTGCGGCCGAAAAAACCTGCCCCTTGCAGCTGTTTTGGGTAAGAGAATCCGACATTAACTGGCAAGCACTGTAAATTGATATACCTCCAGTGTCCTCAGTAATTTCTCCACGACTTTTGCCACGGCTTTGACCTTTCGTTGATCCTCACTTCCTCCTGACGTCACCTTTGACCCTGAGCCGAACTCGTTCAAGGCATACTGCACGGCTCCATCTGGCACCTGGATGACCAGAGGAGGGCGCTCTTTGCCCCGCTTGAATTTCTTTGGTGACGAGACCTGGTGCAGGAGGGAAAACGTATTTGGATTACCTGGGACCTTCCCACTCTCAAATATGTAACATGGAATATTAACATTTAAATATTAAAAACTGTCTGCTATACCCATTCAATATTGAAAGGTTTATGCCCACGTCAAACAATGGCCTTTCTAAACACATTGTTGCAGTACGGTCTCTAGCAAATGACGATGTGCAACCTATTCAGATATAAGCCAAGATACAATTGTGACCAGCTTGCCCAAATATGACACCACGAACAAAAAAAGACTTCGTTCAGAATGTGTACAAGTCCACAGCTATAGGTTTGCCCTGGCTATGCGACCACGTGTCATAATTATTTGGAAACTGGATCAAACTGCATACAAACAATGCAGTCTCACATGCTCATTTTAAATGCTGATAGAAGAAGCTTTTAAGATGAAAATGCTTAGAACATAATACACGTTTTATCCACAGAAGAGCTCTACACTGCACAAGAGGACGTATAGGTAATTCCTTACAGGCAGGTCGATATCATCATAGAATGTCCAGCCAATTCCCCAGCGCATGGTCCGACCCTGGCAGAACTCTGTCGTTGTCACATTCCGGATCTACATGCAACAAAGAAATGACAGACATGTTTGCAAGGTAAGCTTCTGCTGCCAGTGGATATCGATAGAATTAAATCGGCGCCACGTCAATACATTATCTAAGCTTTTTCTTGAATTCAGCAGCAACAGTCAACATCTAGATGGTGCGTTCGCACCAGACTTTTGTCAACTGATTTTGTAACTGTTGCTCTGCTTTCTCAAACCGTAGCCACAGTCATGGCCAATCGACACTTAAGTCACAGCCTGTGCATAAAAACATTGATCATACTTCATGATCTGTAGATGGGTCATTCCATGAAGTTCAGGCAGAGTTTGTGACGGCGTCCCTTGTTACATCGATAACTTTTACTGCCCATTATTTTCACATTACAACAGATTAAGTCATTATTATTTTGCAAAGATGAAGCACGTCACTACAAGAACCTTGCAAGATTTAGAACAATGTCAATTTAGAATCCACATGCAGGGAAAAAAGATGTTTATTTTCACTGATGTAACAAGGGGCGCCGTCACAAATTGTGCCCGAACTTCGTGGAATGACCCAGATCTACAAATCACAGTACTGGAAAGTTGCCATTAAAATCTCACTTATCTGGATTGCAGCAAAGGACAAGTCACCATTTCTTTGCAGGCCCAGTAAATGATATTCAGTTTGCACTGGCCAAGAACCAATCGTTTTTGTTTCTTGAACTCCCCTTTTTAAGTTCAACTTTTTGTCTGCAACAATAATTTCTACTTGTGAGGAGGCAAGGGAAACAGGCGTTCGCCACCTGAAAAAAAAAATGGACAACTTAAACAGAAGAATACAAAAAGGGGGGGGGAAACCAGAGGGATGAAAAATCCCCAAATTGTTTGAAAATACCCCAGAACTTTTAAAAGTGTTTTTCAGTTTGCTGCAGTTGAATACTTGTGCCCCTTTCCCCGAAAGAGGTTTGTCCCTTCCTGAGCGGGGGTGACCATGCCCAAGCAACGAAATACTATCTTTAACAGCAGAATAGATGCACACGGCAATATGCAGAAAGTTGGCCACACAGATCAAGAGCAGCCATCAAGGCAATCACCTGGTGCAGCACTGTGACATGAACCATGTTCGTTTTTACACCTGTTGCACCCCAGGTAGCAAGAGAACTGCTACTCCGAGATGCCCATTAAAAATGATGAACTCTGTAAAAATGACACAGCAAAGAGGACATTGGTTGAGTGGTGTAGGAGTCAATGTTCATGGGCTCACTGGTCAAAGCATGGAGTCAGAATGACCCAAAGACAGTTTTGGTTAACTAACAAGAACTATAAAATTTAAATCATGAATTCTAAACAACCAATCGGTAGTGTTGGGAAACACTGTAACTTAGCTTAAAGTAAAATAATTATTCAGCAGAGTGAACATTAAAGAAATACAAGAGAAAACTTGGAAAAATATTCATAAAATTCCTTAAGTGTGTACATGTCATTCTGCTCTATATTAACAGTTTACTCATTTCAAAGCCTAAACCTTTTGCATACTGGTCACAGAGTAAAAGTTACTTAAATGAAACCCTCAAAGTCAAAAATCGATTACAAGTATCGATAAAGAAATATCAACTCTGAGATGCCACATTCAACATAGGAGTAGTCGATAATCTCCAATAAACTAGGCCTTATCAGACCCTGGCTAATCTCTGTTTGGTTATGCCTGAGTGACTCTGGCCATGCTGTACACACTCTGTGCATGGAAGCTTACTTCATGGCTCTTGAACAAAGAAACCAATGCAGGATCTAGTACATATGCTGGCTATTCTGAACAAAAACCTTAACAGTTCAAAATAGAAACTATTCCTGGGGAGATCTCTAGAACTCCTCAAAATCACACTGAACAGGAACAGCGCAATAAATAATAAAGTAACAAATCTACCAAGTGTCAGGGAAATACATATATATTCCTAGTACCAAGCACAAGTACACCTGACACATTAAGCTGATAAATAATTTGGTGTAGAACTTAAGCACCACGAGCTTACTACAACAGTCTCAACCAATTTCTACTGGCACGGGCCACGAAGAACTGTTGCATACAAAAATGGATTTACCAACAGAAACTTTTCAATATAGACTGCCCTGTCATGTGCTCTCCTTAGAACAAAAGGACTTGTGCTGTCAAGAAAAAACTTGCTTAAACTTTCCTATAATATCTACTGTATATTAAACCACAAGTTTCCTCAAAGTTACTTCTGTACATTATTTCTGAAATAGTGATAAAAAATAGATGCAACATACCTGTTAAAAATGACACAGCAAAGTGGACACTGGTTGAGTGGTGTAGGAGTCAATGTTCATGTGCTCACTAGTCAAAGCGTGGAGTCAGAATGACCCCAGAAAAAAGGCTCGCACACAACCCTACAGTGGCCCACAAAAAGTTGCATCATTTTCACCATGAAGTCCTTCAACCGTTCCCTGTCATCACATGTGATTTACATGAAACAGTCACATGGAGCTGGGGCTGCAATAAACAGTTGCTCCTCAAGAAAAAATAGGGGGGGGGGCATAATCTACTGTATGGTGGGCCCCTACACACCTACCTTGAATTTTGCAAGCTCCCGTTTGATAGGTCCAAGACTTGCTTTCTTCCCAACCATTGATGTGTACCATCTGAGGCAGAAAAAAAGGAAAACGTCTGTGAGCATGTAGGGTGAAATCTATAATATCCCGACACTAACTCAAATGAGTTCCTGGTGTTACAAAGGAAAGAAATATGAGCAATGGGTAGTGCATTTGACTAAATCCCAAGCACTAAATCGGGCAAGCGCGACTGCATGCAACTTGCCACAAGTGCGCTTACATGTACATGGCAGAGCTACTTACTTAGGGAAGTACCCTATCAAGATGGCGGCTTGAACAAACGATGCGAAGGAAGGTTGATGCCAATGTAAACATTTCAAAAAACTTGTGGCACATAGAGGCAAACTGGCTCAAGTCAAGTAAGTGGTATAAAAGCTGGAAATGTGTGTGTGTAAATGTCTGTTGCATTCGACAGTTCAAATCCGCACTGCAATTTCATTAAATGAATCTCTGTACGACCCTTTGAACCAGTTGGCGCACCTCGGCTAACCTGAGATCATTCCTCTATTGCCATAGCTAGCGCACATTTGTCTTAACCTGTGACAACACAAACAAGTGATCTAATGGGAAGTGATCTAATGCACCGATGATAACTAAACTGGGGATGGAATTTCAGGCTATTCATGGTGAAGGACAGCAGTAAGTGGAAAGGTTTGCGGTAGCACCATGCAAAGGAACATACCTCTCGTGACTGTGTGTGGTTCTGAAACTGGGCATGTCTTGGAACACATAGCATCACCCAGTGATGATTTACTGTGTATGTATTTCCAATTCTGACTGCTATACAACAATAAAGTGACAGGGTTCTACCTTCTACAATCCCCCTCAATCTCCCAGTGTGTCCACAACCTCCTGCATTGGGAGGGATTGTGGAGTAGAAGTTACTAGAAACCTGATAAACAGCTATGAGGGGTGGTTTTTATTACCCGCCAATTCAAAAACCAGGCTGATTGAGGTATGTTTTATGTTTGATTCCTCTCATCCATGTGTTAATTTTTACACTTCAAAGCAATCCAATGTAATAGAAAGCTGTCCGCAGAAAGTTCTGGTAGGTACAGGCAATAAAACATGTTGAATTTAAAGTTTGATTGTTCATGTGAGCAATGGTTTCATTTTCCAGGTAACGGCTTATAATTCTTCTGACTGGTTTTGGAACTGTCGGTCATCTTTTGAGGGGGGGGAAATTGCATCACAGAAGTCAGTAAGTTATGAGTTCCACTCACACGACTTGCTGCCTGAGCTGCAGGCTGTCGGCAATCATCCGCCCGATGAAGTCCACCTCCCCTCCCTCGTCCCAGATCATCTCGCCCTCCGCGGCCGTGCTGACTGAGCTGGGCTCGGACCGGTCGGCGCTGCGGGCCGCCATGATCCCCTGGGCCTCCAGCAGGTTGCCGAAGAAGGGTGGGTTGCACATGGTGAAGTGGTAGAGGCCCCTGGGGGCTGCCTTGACAATGCCGCACAGCATGTCGTCGGGTTTTGCTTCCAACACTAAAAAACAGTAGAAGCAGTTACAGTGAATGGCAACATAAGGTTAAAAAAATCAGAGGAATATATTTGAGATCTACTTTGTGCTATTGACTGTTTTTTGACCAAGGCATCTTTGTCCAGAATGGATACTAATCCAGGTTTAATTTTAAATTTTTAAAACTAAAAGGATAATGTGAAAGTGTAAAAGATGAAAATAAAATAAGCAATTAGTAGTTTCTAAGAGCCCCCCCCAAAAAACCCTGTCAAGTGAAGTGTTTATTCACCTATATTCTGATTACTAAAGAAAAAGACAGTGACTCGGCTCTGCCTTCACCCATCTTTCAAAATCCTCTAAAACCTCTTGGTTTGGGGAACTGGGAAAAAGGTTAAAAAAGAGAGCGAAAATTTAAAAAAACTTTTCAGGAATTTAAAACTGTTATGGGCCTACTCAGTATTTCCAGCGGATATGGAGTGCAACTTATCTCATATGTTGCGACTGGTTTCAATGCAAGTTTGAACTTGATGTTCTTGAGCAAGATCATTTACACTGTTAGTAAACCACTGGTACGAGACCTAAGGGTCAAAGGTGCCTGAGTATTATGGGCAATTCACAAAAGGGCGCCTCCAAGAGTTTGCAATATGTGGGCCAATCACAGTGCGCAAAATCTGTTGACCCAATACACGTTTGGAAAAGGTCGACAGATTTCCCGCGTTGTGATTGACCAACACGTTGCAAACTCTTAAAGACGCAATATTGTGAATCGGTCGTATTGACTGAGATTATGTACCCTCTTAAATGGTCTTTTTTGGTAAAGTGTTCTAATATCGTAGGCAAACATAGCTCTGCTTTTGAACTTGATGAGAAATTAAGAATCAGATGCGAGTCTTCAGTGGTGATGACACATCACATACGGTCACTGGCATTCCTAATTTCTGAAAGTCATTCAAATGGACAAAGTAAAACCCCGATACTACCCTAAAATGTCACAAGCAGTTCATGGTAGATCCTGACATGTCATCTTGCAAAAAACCTATTCTAAGGGGAAAAAAACAAGGCACAGGCCAGAGACTACTGACTGAGCATGATTAAACCAGCCCAGTTACCTTGGATTTTGTCGCATAGGTTGTTCCTCTTCACGTTGAGAGTCGCATAGCCAACAGCGGAGGCATCGACTTCAGAGGCTGCAAAGTGCCAGCCGTTTAGCTTGGCTCCCAGCAGGGGATAGATGCAGGATGCTCCACAACCTGTCATGAACAGTGGGTCAAATTAATGATAAGTGGGAAAAACTGAATCAATGTTTCTGCCAAAACAAGTTGACAGGGAAAAAAAATGATAGAAACCAACGTTGTTAATGTTGCTTGTATCGTGAATCCACATCAAACTACCAACAGTCATAAGAGGGCACTGGTAACTGCAGAAAGTCACGACTGAAATGATGGCTAAATTTCAGTTGTGTCATGCAACAAACTAAGAACTAAACATTGGCACTACAGACCTGAAAACTGCCATAAGGGTCTGTCAGGCTACCTCCCTGACCAGGCCCCACCTCCACAACGGGGACCTTCCCACTGGGCCCCACAAATAAAATATACACGTAGATGACGACACATCAGGGTGTTCTTCCAATTTTTTTGAAATATAAATAGATAAGGTCCTGTTTACGGGTCTAGGCAGCCCCTACTTTCAGACACACTTGCCAAAGGCCTTTTCTTAGCTGTGCCCTCGATGGGAGCCAAAGAAGACAGGGGGTGACCCAGGACAAGGATTGAGTCTCAATCGAATCCAGCTCCTTTATCTCGCAGCTCTTCCTTTACTTCAGAGCACTTACCCACATCAATGCCACAGATCTGAGGCAACTCACTGTGACCACTCTGCTTCAGGAGATCCTCGATCCACAGGACATAGTTCAGCCGCAGTGGCACGGTGGGAATGATCCTATCTAGGGGGATGACCAGCTCAAGGCCAAAGTCCTCCCTCAACAGTGTGCAGGTCAGCGCCCGCAGGGCCTCAGGGTCCTTGAAGTCCAGCGAGACTTTCCCAGACAGTGCAGTGGACAGGTGGCGCTTGAACTCCGGGTACTTGGCAGCGAGTGCGGCAAAGTCGGGCTTGGCATGCTTGTAGCGATTCCTCGGGTGCATGAACTGGTTCAGCGCCATAATGAATCTGTGTAAAAGGATAGCAAAATCAATTAAACTCCATGGGTGAGTGAGAAATTCCATTGAAACTGAAGGATTCAGGAATGTCACACTTTCAAAGCTTTACTGACTGTATTGAATCTTAAGCATTACAAAAGTTCAAACATTCCTGTTCCGTCAGAAAGCTTCAAGGAACTCTATGTTCCCTGTGGGAATTTTACAGTATCTGCACGTGTACATAGACCACTGGTCCATTCCAGAACAAACAGAGATTTCATTCGAAACAGTTCCCAATTGGAATGCTCTTCAGTGTTCCACCTTTTGAGACGCTCCCTTCACCGGCCAAAACTCCCAAACCAAGGTTTGTTGGTACAAGTATCTGTTAAGATGAACACTGCACGAGTAAACTATTGTTTTTTAACATGGGATTAGGCATACCACAAACAATGTCCAACTGTTTATGTGCACAGTTTACTCTAATCTGTTGGGATTTGTAAGGATGAGGAAGGTTCCTACTAAAACACTTTAGGGAGTTAGGGTTAATACACGCATTTAGAAACTTCAAATACAACTGAATGAAACAAAACACTAATTCTCAAAAATTGTGCAATATGAATCAACTGTTCAAGGAAGCAATGCCTTAGCATACACCTCTCACCAAGAAATGTAGTTTTACACTCATCACGAGGTCTAATCCTTTATAGGATCCTTCAAAATCCACTGGTGTCAGGGGAATTTGGGAAAACTTAGCAAGGAACTCTCCTGCCACAGATTTTTGCACTGGGGCACACCGTCACTTGGAAGTTCGAATTTGCCACCAGATTTAGAAATAATGAAATATTTCATTCATTACAAAGATGAACCATGTACTAACACACAAAAGAATGGGCCACAGGGGAACAGTGACCGAGGTAATCTGATACAAAGAGGTTTCTTGCTGTGTCATCTGCAACAAACTAAACAGAGAGCAAATGGGCTGGCAGCACAGCAGGGCCAAGCGACACCTGACCAAAATTCCCAGTTAATGTTCATGTACTACACCTAATAAGCCTATCCCCCTCCCACTTGGGGTCCAGTATTGCAGGTGTTTTTTGGCTTTCATAGCTAAAGTTTCCCTATGTTTTTTTCCTAAGTGTCCTAGGTTAATTATTTATTAAACATGAAATTAATAAATTGGCAAATGTTTTAAATTGAACACACTTTCATTTATTTCTAAAACTGAAACATGTTCTAGTGCTTACTGTGGAGGTTATTTCATTAATCATAATTTACTTGGCAAAATAATAAAAATGCTTGAACTAAAAAATGGCTTATATTTTCAGACCCAGCCAGAAATGAGACCGAAAAAGACAGAACCTGTGTGTGTAGCAGTGCTACATGTACTTGCTACACAGAATGTTTAGTCAGGTGATATGCAACATGTATAGGATATAGGCACAGCCGATCCGATGGTCTAAGAACCAGACCTTTAACTGCACACTAATGATTCACAGTGCAAGGCGAAGGTGCAAGAAAAGTAAGGGGCG